GGGTCATAGATGCAGCATACAATCCAGTGGAAGCAGTAGCTGGCAGGTCCTGAGACCAGTGTCCACAGTGCTGGGCCTGGAGATACAGAGAAGGCAGGGTCAGGGCTTGCCCAGGATGACCTGCCACCCTGCCAACCCCAACACGCCTGTTGCCAGATGTCCATGTGGCTCTCATGGCACCTTGACTCCTAGATATCACCACTCAACCAGCACCTAGGGTGTCACCCCGCTCAAACTTTTATCCATAGGGTGGACCTGGGCTCTTAAGGGGGCTGCCAGGCACAGCTAGTCAGGGCTCCCAGTCCTCACAGCACCCGCTCCCCACTTTTCAGCATCGGCACCACCAAGAAGGGGATCGGGCCAACTTACTCCTCCAAGGCTTCCCGGACGGGCCTCCGCATCTGTGACCTCCTGTCAGATTTTGATGAGTTTTCCAGCAGGTGCCCTGAGCCCCTGCAGCCCCAGGAGGGTGGGGAGAGGAGACAGGACGTGGCGTGTGAGGCCCCACAGGGTCAGGGTTCCTGGACCACAGGGGAGTCACAGCAACTGTCACTTTGCAGGTTCAAGAACCTGGCTCACCAGCACCAGGCCATGTTCCCCACCCTGGATGTGGACATCGAAGGGCAGCTCAAGAAGCTGAAGGTGAGTGCTGGGCAGTGGCAGGAGGACTGGGGGAGGCTGGGGGCATGGGCAGGCCAGGACCCCAGGGTCTGCTTCTTACCCAGTGCCTGTTGGATAGCCATGGAGCACACCTGTGCCCCTGTCATCAGTCATGATTATGGGCTGGACATCCTTTTTGGGGACCAGGGTCCCCTCCTCTGCCCAGGGCTGCACTCTCATTCTGACCCTTTAGGGCTTTGCTGAGCGGATCAGACCGATGGTCCGAGATGGTGTTTACTTTATGTATGAGGCACTCCATGGCCCCCCCAAGAAAATCCTTGTGGAAGGTGCCAACGCAGCCCTTCTCGACATTGACTTTGGTAAGGCCTGGGGTGTGATCATCACAACAACCTCTATCTGCCTGGCAAGCCAGGCCGCTGCTGAGAGCCACAGGAGCACATAGGGAAGCAGATGTCAGAGTCACAGCCACAGAGCCACCCTCGCCCATGGAAATGGTCCCAGTGTCCCTGTGTTCCCAGCTTCAGTGGGGGGGGGGGTAGAATGAGTGAATGGAGGAAAAGGGCCAGGATGATAGCCAGGCAGTTGGCAACGCTGGTTAGTGCAGCCTCTCGACAGTCTGTATGTCCCCATCCCTGAGCACATGAGCACATCAGCTAAGCCCTCAGTGGCTACCTCAGTCCACACCAGGAGCAGCTTTCTCCCTCCCTTCCTCCCAGACCCTGGTATGAGCAATATGGCCCAGCACCCAGCCCAAGCAGGTCTCTCCCCATGGTGGGCCTTCAGACCCACCTCTGGGAAACACAGGGAGAAAAACTGCCTGCTGCCTTGGGTTGGGGGCATCAGCAGGGTGGTGGGCAGCCCCCAACCCACTTTGTCTTGCAGGGACCTACCCCTTTGTGACCTCGTCCAACTGCACGGTGGGCGGTGTGTGCACGGGCCTGGGCATACCACCCCAGAACATAGGCGATGTGTACGGCGTGGTGAAGGCTTACACCACACGTGTGGGCATTGGGGCCTTCCCCACTGAGCAGATCAATGTGAGTCCCCAGCCCCTACCCGAGGAGGCCAGGCAGGGTACCCCAGGGCAGGGGGAGTGGAGATGCAGTGGGGATGGGTGGCCATTCACACCACTCGCAGACTCCCAACGGGCGGGTTGGGGGTTGAGGAGGGGCGTTGGATGTTGGTGTGTTCCCACTGCAGCAGCAGCACGCAGCCTGCACCACACACGGACACATGCACACACACACATGTACACAGGCGACCTTGTTTCCCTGTCTCATAGCCCTCTCAGACGTTCCTGTTTAGGACACCCCTGTTTGAACCGCACGGGCTCAGAGAGGTCCCTGTCTTGGCAGGGGTGGGGGTCTGTCACTGTCAGGATAGAACTGCGGCTAAAAGCAGAACCCCCACCCTCCTTGGCTCTTCAGCTTCAGGGGTGTTTCTGGAAGCTGCTGGGATCCCCAGGAGGCAGCAGCGTTCCCTTCTCAGCCTCACCTATGAACTGGCAAGGCAAGGGCATGGCCTTGTCCTGTGCAGGGAGGAAGAGCAGGTGCTATGAGGGGGGCTAGGCATCCCGCAAAGGTGGGGCTAGGCATCCCGCAAAGCTGTGCTGTAGGGCCAGGCCTACCAGACCCTCACTGAGCTCTGGGCCAGTGTGTTCTGGAAGAGGAGCCAGTTGGCAGAAGCGCGTTGGCAACATGGCCCTGACCCATGTGAGCTTCAGCTGCCAGACACACCTGCCAGAGACAAGGAGATACGGGCAGCAGTGTGAGGGGTGGCTCTGTCAGTGGTGGGCAGGAGCACAGCATCCCTGCCTGGCTGGGGAAGACTGTCTGCTCTGCTCTCACATAGGAAATCGGAGACCTATTGCAGAACCGTGGCCATGAGTGGGGAGTGACCACGGGTAGGAAGCGGCGCTGCGGGTGGCTAGACCTCATGATCCTGAGATATGCTCACATGGTCAACGGGTTCACCGCGTAAGAGCCCTTCCTTGGGCCCAGCACAACATCCAGGACTGGCCCTGCCCCTGCTGTGTGGGCCCAGGGGGCTGGGGGGGGGGCCTGTTGCTCGGTGCAGCCTGGGGCTTCATCAAGGCTCCCTCTCTGCTCCTCCGGGAGACAGGGTCTTACATGGGGTGTGACTGGGTATCAAGCAGTGCTGGGCCCAAGCCCTGAGTCCCCAGAGTCCTGGGGGAATGGCCTGGCATGTGCAGGCCTGCTTCTTTCATTTGCCAGCAGGCACCTGGGAGCTGGGATTGCCTGGACACCCTGTTGGAGGGACTGCAGAACTTGGTGTGACAGGCTGGCAGGCTGAACATCAGACACACATTTACCCTTTCCCCCCAGGGGCCCAAGGGGCCCCTGGCATTTCTAGACATTTCATCCAGTGGGGTGGCACAGAGCTGGGAGGGCCACAGTCCAAACCTGCTGGTGACAAAGTGATGCTTGGCAGTGGGTCCTGATTGGCATGAGTTTCTGAGTGCTTCTAGCTGCATGGGGAGAGCCCACAGTCCAGCATGCCAAATTCAGCTTCTCCCTAGCAGCGGTTCTCAACCTGTGGATTGCAACCAATGAAAATACATCCTACCTATCAGATATTTACATTACGATTCATAACAGTAGCAAAATTACAGTTATGAAGTAGCAATGAAAATAATTTTATGGTTAGGGGTCACCACAACATGAGGAACTATATTAAAGGGTCATGGCATTAGGAAGTTTGAGAACCACTGCCTAGAACCATGTGGTACCAACGCAGGCCTCAAAATAAGGATGCAAAGCCCTAAGCAAGAAAGGCCACCTGAAGATCCCGAGGCCCCTCCCTGCAAGGATGGCGGTACAGAACAGGCACCCAGGGGTCAACCCAGGTGGGCCCCAGAGGTGCCCCACACAGCAGCCGCCCAGAGGCAGGAGCTCCATGGTCATGCCTGCTGGGTGGCCATGTTTTCCTGAGTCACATTATCGTTACTGTCTACTCCCCATGAATCTCCTAGTCATCACCTGTGAACCCCAGAGGAGAAGCCAAGTCCGACAAGCAGAGGGCAGAGCCACAGCGCTGCAGACCACCTCAAGTCTGTCTCTGTGTCTGGTTTTGGGTAGGCTGGCCTTCACGAAGCTGGACATCCTGGATGTTCTGAGTGAGATTAAAGTCGGCGTCTCGTACAAGCTGAATGGGAAAAGGATTCCCTACTTTCCAGGTACCTGAGATGAGGTGGTGGTCTCTCTGTCCACTACTCAGTTCCATGGACCTGGGACTTCTCAGAGATGGAGAAGTCCTGCACGTTCAGTAGGCAAAGGCAAGCCGCCTATCCCCAAAGACTTGCTCCTGGCTTTTGTCTCCTCCAGGCTCTCCCCAAGGCAGGCCCGGGGGAGGTCTGGCCAGGCCTTAGGCCGATGCAGGTACCTTCCCGCTGCCCCAGTTTGGGAATGGCTGGTGGGGGAGCAGGCCTGGGTTGACAGAAGCCCATGTGACCACCCTGACCTGCCGTAGGTAAGGGCAGCCTCCAGTGAGCCTAAGATGCAGGCCTGAATCACACAGACTGCTCTGGAAAGCCCAGGGTACTGTGCTAATGTGATTTCTTTTCTTCCTTTTTTTTTTTTTTTTGGAGATAGAGTCTCACCCTGTCATCTGGGGTAGAGTGCCGTGGCATCATAGCTCACAGCCACCTCAAACTCCTGGGCTGAAGCAATCCTCCTGCCTCAACCTCCCAAGTAGCTGGGACACAGGCACCAGCCACCACATCTGGCTGGCTTTTCTCTTTTTAGTAGAAATGAGGTTTTACTCTTGCTCAGGCTGGTCTTGAACTCCTGAGCTCAGGTGATCCACCCACATCGGCCTCTCCCAGAGTGCTAAGATTACAGGCATGAGCCACTGTACCTGGCCTTTTGGGTTAGGTTTCTGAGACCTAACTGGGGTTTCCCCGACTGTGCACTCCTTCCTTAGAAAGTGTGAAGGGACAGCCCAGGCACCCTTCCTGGCCCATGGTACAAAGCCATTGCAACAGGAGCCCTTGTTCCAGCATGTCCTACCAGTAAAGGGTGATTGGCTTCTACCTTGAGTTGCAGATGCCCTATACCGTGTTCCCACCCTCAGGGAGCTCATCTCTTGGGGTCAGGGAACATAGATCCTCAAGGATCCCTTAATGCTTTAGGATTATAGAATCGCTTAGAATTTCCAGGCACAGCCTTGGAGCTCCTCTGCTGATGTCACCACAGTAGTTGGGCAGTTAACCAGCACATGCCAGGGTAGTGACCTATCCGAAAGGGCGACAGCCAGTGTCCGAGCCCCCCTGCTGTGCCCTGCTCACCACCTAACAGAGAGCCACACAGGGTGCCTTGCCCGCCCTGGACACCTTCCTACGGCTGAGGTCCTGGGTGGGCCCCGGGGTGAGACTGCTCACACAATGTGTTTCCTCAGCTAACCAGGAGATACTTCAGAAGGTTGAAGTTGAATATGAAACACTGCCAGGATGGAAAGCAGACACCACAGGGGCCAGGAGGTGGGAGGACCTACCCCCGCAGGCCCAGAGCTACGTCCGCTTCGTGGAGAACCACGTGGGAGTTGCAGGTGGGTGCCCTGCATCCTCAGAACCCCAAGTGGCCCATGTCCTGGTGCAGACCTTGGTGAGTGGGTCAACGTAGCAGACAGAGAAGTGAGGAGGGCCTGAGCTGGGGTGGATGTGGCCCTGCCAGGGACAGGCGCCTGTCAGCCACCAAAAGGACAGAGGGCATGTGTGTGCTTTCTCACATCACGGGGTGTCTGCAGCCAGAGGAAAGGCCACTGGGGAAGCCATTCTATATAAAGAGGAGGCCATTTGCAAGGTGGGGCTGAGGGTGGGCTCTTGCTCTGCTGCATGAGGATTCATGCCCCAATGTGTACATCCTTTATACACATTTTAATTTATAACTTAAAATTAGAACTATGTCTGTTTGAAGAAAACATAGTCCCTTTTACTAGATGAACTACATTAAAAGATGTGCAATTAGAGAAAGTTTTCCCTCCATGAATGCTCTCTCTGCCTCTCAGTCAAGTGGGTCGGAGTTGGCAAGTCCAGAGAGTCGATGATCCAGCTGTTTTAAGTGCCAGCCAGTCTGGCCCCACAGGCTGCAGCGCCCTGTCCCATGGAGATGGTGGAGTCACGCTCCTTGGCGATCACAACCAATGCCATGAACAAAGAAGTATGAAAATGATTTCCTGGACTATTTCTATTTAAGCCTTCAATTCAATGCATTGATTTCTACAATGAATTTAAATATCAGAAAGCCAACTTGTGTATGTTTTTCAAATTCTCCTCCTTAAAATGAGCTAAAGTACTTAAAACAGAAAGACCTTTTGTGACACATTGTCACACAATTGTATGCCCAGCTGGAACGATGCAAAATAAACATCTGGTAGCTACTGAATGAGGTGGTTGTTTACTGTTTGTTTGGACTTTGTCCTTGTAGCTTTTAAACACTAAAAGTGGACAATTCACTGTGCTGAGTCTGGACAATGCAGCTTCCTAAGAGCTACCCGTGTTTTTGGTGTCACAAAGCTAAGCTGTGTGTTTGCTCAAGGCAGGAGGATTGCTTGAGCCCAGGATTTGGAGACTGCCTGAGCAATGTAGTGAGAAAGAAATGAAAAAAATGAAGAAAGAAAATTAGGATGGTGGCAGGTACCTGTAGTCTCAGGTCTTCTGGCGGCTGAAGCAAAAGGATCACTTCAACCCAGAAGTTCAAAGCTAGTGACAGTGATGATGACACTGGTGGGCCCATCTCTAAAAAACAAATTATATTCTAGAGCTGTCGCCTGGGGAGGACTCGCCCTCTTGACCCAGGACTGACTCCTTCCCAGGAGTGACAAGGCCTCACCAGCAACCTTCCTATTACAGGTGGGCACTCACGGTCATCATCTCCCTGGATTTTCTTTCCTGGGATGGGCCACATTGTTATTGGCAGAGCTGTGCAAGGCACATGGTAGCCAGTGCCCTTCTGAATGCTGAGTGGCCTCCTTAATAACTTTCAGAGTGTGGGGTAAGTTTAGAGAAAAAACTGCCTTTTCAGCATTCTTTCAGCAAGGGTGGGGATTCAGTGGAAGGCACAGAGCCCCTGCGGGGCATTGGTTTCACAGCGGGGACAGAGTTCCTTGGGTTCCAAGCTCTGTATGTGGACAGCGTTCCTTGGGTTCCAAGCTCTGTATGACCCACACCTTGGAAATGCTTACAGCTCAGTTCTGAATCCCAACTCCAGGAGTGCCAGCAAACTTCCCCAAACAGTGCCAAGCATGGCCTGCAGGAACTGGAAGGCAGGAAAACATTATGCAAAGGCAAGTCGTGGCCTCCCTGGTGGGCAAGCAGGGAAGAGATCAGCCTGGAGTTCCTAGGAATTCCTTTTGTCCATTACATAGCAGGAGGGACAACAGGAGAGAGCCCCAAGGCAGGGGTGCGCCCCTGGAGGAAGGTGGGTGGCAGCATGTGCTGGGCCATCATGCCAATAGTGGGCACTGCTGTCCTCAGGAGGTCACTGTCTTGCTCAGCAACAGACATGTTGTTTGACGACCAACCACAGCAGACATTTTCCAAAAGGAAATCATTCTATTCTGTATAAAAAGCTATAAGCTTAGCTGTGCAAGTATAACCTGCCATTTTGTTGTTGTTTCAGAGACAGAATCTTAATCTGTCCCAAGCTAGGGTCATAGCTCACTACAGCCTTGAACTCCTAAGCTCAAGCAATCCTTCTGCCTCATCCTCCTAAGGAGCAAAGACTATAGGTGCCCGCCACCACTCTCAGCTGTTTTTTTCTCTTTAGATATGACATCTCACTATATTGCCCAGGCTAGTGTTCAACTCCTGGGCTCAAGTGGTCCACCCACCTTGGCCTCCCAAAGTGCTGAGTTTACAGGTGTGAGCCACCGCACCCCACCTAACCTGTCATTTAAATTAGAGAACTGCAAAAGAAGTTTTCAAATCTGTATTTTGTTGTAGCTGCTCCACACAAACCCAGTTGTTGTTATTGTTTCTCTTCATCTGTGGATGAAATCTTGAGGCAGCAGCTGCAGGTAAAGCCATCAGGTATCTGGGGAAGTTTTACCACATAAAAAGGGCAACAACTTAGTGGGAAAATGACTCTTCCCCACATCAACTCTTTGACATATTCCAGGGTCAGGAGACTATGTCACCGAGTGATGGACCAATGCAGACAAACCGGCAAATAATTCAGGTCTCCATCCCTTTTTCTCAGAAGCAGTACAATAGGGCTCTTTCTACTCTACATGGAGGATCCGGCTCCCATGCAGATGAGGCCATGGTAGTCGTTTAGGGACCAAAAGGAAGAGAACGCGATGCCGCCGATCCATCCCGTCCCACCCTTCTCCTTAGTCGGGTCTCCCGGGTCGACGCGGCCTATCCAGCCCTGAGCCTTTCTTGAGCCCAGCCCCCGACGTGGTCCCCGCCTACCTGCCTTGCACCTCCCACAAGCCCCGCCGTCGACATCTTCCTTTCCTATCCCACGCCCGCCTCTCCTGAGCCGGGTTTCTCCAGTGCACCAGTGTTTCCCCTTTACTGTCGTCGATCCCGTGTCCGCCCCGACCTTGCTCCCAGCCTATCCTGAACCGTGCTCGTAGGAACCCCGTCTCCTAATTCTCTTCCGACCTATCCTGCGCCGGGTGCCCACGAGCCACGCCCACCAACGCGCTCATCCTGACCCCCAACCTCGCCCCGGCCTTTCCCGCGCCGCGGAGTCCCGCCCCGACGTCGCCCTCTACCTATCCAACGCCTCGTTGTGCAGAATCCCCGCCCCCAGACCTCTTACAGGCTTATCCCGGGCCCTGCTGCGCCCTCGCCCCGCCCCGTCCGCTGAGTGGCGCGCGGCTGTAACGTCACAAGGTCCATGCCCAGGCGCGCGCAGCCGCGGAGCCGCATAACTCGGGCCGGGCATAGCTTGGGCCCTGCGGTCATGCCCAAGCGGGGCTGTCCTTTCGCGGACGCGGCCCCGTTGCAGCTGAAGGTCCGCGTGGGTCATAAGGAACTAAGTCGCGGCGTGTGCGGGGAACGCTACTCGCGGGAGATCTTCGGTGAGTGCGTGAACAGCTGCCGCGGGTTTGCTGCGGCGGGACCACGAGCGGGCCGGGCCGCCACTGCCTCTCTGAGGCTCGTCCTGGTCAGGGGGCTCTGCGGGGAGATGGGCTGGCCACGTTATGGGTCAGTGAACAGGACGTGAGTGACCCCCAGGTGGGCAGGCATACTCTGCCCTGCCTTGTTGTGCCCCCTCCCACCCGAGCCCGGTTATTCTTCGCCCGCAGCGTTGGGACTTTGTAGCAGATACCTTGGTCTCTGCATTCGCGTCCCCGCAGACCCGGGAGAGGTCGGCTGTGGGATATCTTGGAAGAATTAAACCGGAATAACGGTTCTGTCCCAAGAAGTATTTATGGATCACGCCCCCCCACCCCTTGCCTTGCGCTGTGCTGGCCCGGCCCGGGAGACCAAAAGCAAACGGGACGGCCGCGCCCCCTGCGTTCCTGGAACGCACCGGTCGGTCCAGGGAGTCAGCTGGTGGTGAGGGCAGGCTCAGGTTGTGGCAGGAGCACATTGGGGAAGGAATGGGGGAGAAGATGTCTGGAAGGACCAGAATCTAAGTCTCTTTTGACAAGGCGGGTAGAAGGGAGCCAGGCTGAGAGGGACAAGATGGAGGAGGAAAAGGCAGCGGGGTTGGCGTGTGCGGAGGCCAGGGGGCGAGGCAGGAGGCGAGAGAGCAGAAGAGCACTTTCCAGTTCCAGGAGGGGTGTTAGAGAAGCAAGTGCAGAGATGAGTACCATGCCTGCGGGTCGGATTTTCTCCGGCAAGTTTTAGGCATATTGATACTATTCATCGTTACTTTGGAATGATTAATAACCTGGGTAGACACAAAGTGGAGCTTATCTTACCTAATGATGGTAGGGGCTACAGGTTTATAGCATGGAGCAGTTAGAGATCTGACGTGTTTGTTATTGAGTGGTGCCACTTGTGCTTTGGGAATGAGGTAGAACCCATCCTCCACCCCTCTCCAGCTCTTTTTCTTCTGCTGTTTCTCCCCCAGCATCAGCAGCCGCTCTGCACTTCTTCTGCACTAGGGCTGCAAAGTCAGTTGTTCTCCCAGACCATGCAGGTAGTAAACGAGGGAAGGCACAAAGGCTGTGGTTGAAGAGTAAGTGTGTTACAGTTGAACTAAACAGGAGTGGGGACTACATCAGTCTAACCCTTAAGTCCTAGTATTTGCCAGGACTTATCACTTCACAGGACTGGGTCAGGCAGGGCTGCTGGTCTTGCTGGGCCTTCCATAGTAAGTGTGACTCATGTGATGAAAGCCAAGCCACAGCTGTCACCTCATCTCTTTGCCATGAATATAGCACAAGCCCTTGAGAACAAGGATTAGCCTCACTGTGTGACACCCCCCATTTCCACCCACTTGTAAATGAGGGGAGAAATTGCAAAAGATGAGCAGAGTGATAGGAGTGTCCCTTCTGTGTCCTTGTATTGGACACAAGTGGGGCTGTAGGGTGGGAACCTTCCTGAAGGACAAGGGGAGGGGAGAGCATTCAGGAAGAAAAGACACAAGTGTAGCTGGCTGTCCATCAGCTACTCTGTTAGCGTCACCCTGTAACTATCGTTGCTGCCAGTTTCACACAGAGCCATGTAGGGTTTCTGGGATTTCAGCCATGTGAAGGTGAGGTAGAAAAGGAAAAAACAAAGCCCTGTGGGTCCAGAGCTGGTGAAGATCTCCAGGCAGCTGTGCTGTCACCTGACAAGAGCTGCAGTTCTGGGTGCTGAGCAGCCACTTCAAGGCAGGGTAGGAGGGTGTTCCAGAGCAAGAGGTCTGGAATGTTCTGGGATACCTTATCAGGAGCCGGCTGCTGCCCTGACCTGCCAGCAGCCGTGCACTAGGTGAAGCAACAGGCTGCACACCAGCCTGCACATTGGTCTGAGATCATAGGCCAGCTCAGCCTCTGGCTGCTTCCTGCCAGGCGGCAAAGGGGGAACCCATTTTTGTATTAAAGCTCCACAGTGCAGAGCTTCCTCTGTGCTTCACAGAGTCTGCTTTTAGGGGGACAAGTGTGCTGGGGAAGGGGCCACAAACATGTGAGGTGAGGCCAGCTGTGAAATGCAGCAGATGAGCAGAGTGATAGGAGTGTCCCTTCCGTGTCCTTGTATTGGACACAAGTGGGGCTGTAGGGTAGGAACTTTCCTGAAGGACAAAGGGAGGGGAGAGCATTCTCTGCGGAGGCAGAGCAGGACCAGCCTTGCTAACACCAAACTTGGGCTGGGGTTGCTGGGTGATAGCCCCTAAGGGGGGCTCACTGTGCCCACCCAACAGGGTCCATGTGAGACTTGTAGAATGAGGGGGCATCCTGTGGTGCACTGGTATGAACACGAGGGTGATTGTCTTCCCCAGAGAAGACCAAGCAACTCCTTTTCCTCGGAGCCCAGGCCTACTTGGACCATGTGTGGGATGAAGGCTGTGCCATCGTTCGCCTGCCAGAGTCCCCAAAGCCTGGCCCTGTGGGGGCCCCAAGGGCTACACGTGGGCAAATGCTGATCGGACCTGACGGCCGCCTGACCAGGAGCCTTGGGCAGGCCTCCGAAGCTGGTGAGTGGCATGGGCTGTAGAGCTGAGGGCCATATACAGAAGCTTCTCTTGATTGGCAGAATTGTCTGCTCGGGTGCTTTTCCTGCTGGGTAAGCAAGAGTCTGGCCCAGTTTGGGGAGTTGGGCACATGCTGGAAGGCTCCAGAGGCTGCCTGACCTCACCAACATCCAGGTCTGGACATGGGTAGCAGCTTCTAACTCATGGGCCAGAAAAGGAGTAGAGACTCACCTTGGTCCCCCACCTGCTTTCCACCTGCAGCCCTCTCAGGCAGCCCTTGGGGCTGGAGACAGGCACTATGCATCATAGACCATTACCTGTGCTATAGAATAGAGTTCCTATGTACAGCGCCTGTGGCTCAGTGGGTAGGGCGCTGGCCCCATATACCTAGGGTGGCGGGTTTGAACCCAGCCCTGGCCAAACCACAACCGAAAATAGCCAGGTGTCATGGTGAGTGCCTGTAGTCCCAGCTACTTGGGAGGCTGAGGCAAGAGAATCGCTTAAGCCCAAGAGTTTGAGGTTGCTATGAGCTGTGATGCCATGACACTCTACCCAGGGTGACAGCTTGAGACTCTGTCTCAATAAATAAATAAATAAATAAAATAGAATTCCCAGTCTCACTCCCATATCTGGTCTGTGGGTCTGGAGGGGCCCAGGACCTTTGGGCTAACCAGGGAAGCAGTGAACCTCACCTCTGGGACACTAGGGCTCTGTCACCAGCAGTCAGGGAGTTGCTGAGCCTTCCAGCCTGGGCTCAGGTAGCAGAGGGTTCTAGGGAAGGGAAGTAGTTTGAACTTGGAGCGACATCACCCCCTGGAGGGTGTCCAGGCACATCTTCCCCTGGAGCTCTCCTTAGTGACACAGAGTCTGCACTGCCCTTGACTCACAGGTTGTCAGAGAATCCAGTGCTAGGTAGGGGGGTAGTACTCTGCCCTCAGGTATGTAGGGAGGTGGGGGGACTGCCACCATAAGCTCTTGCAGTGTCCTTCCCAGCTGACAGTGTGGCATTTTCCCTCACAGACCCGTCCGGGGCAGCATCCATCGCCTGCTCCTCATGTGTTCGAACCGTGGATGGAAAGGCTGTCTGCGGCCAGTGTGAGCGGGCCCTGTGCAGGCAGTGTGTGCGCAGCTGCTGGGGCTGTGGCGCCGTGGCCTGTGCCCTTTGTGGCCTCATGGAGTAAGTGCTTTTGAGCTGCCAAAATTGTGTCCCCAGCCAGCCATGCATGGGGGATGAGTAGGCTGCCCACATGGGGAAGGGCCTGGGGCACCCACTTCTGTAGTTGTCAACAGGGTGCCTTCAGGTAATGCCTGAGGGGATGAGCTGGAATGGCAATGAAAGCCTGGCCCAGCTTTGGTGGTTAGTGACCCTTTCAAAAGGTAATCCAAGTCTCCCAAATTGCCTGCTCTGTGTTTTGCTATGACCCCTGTCATGAGCAGCATGACACTTCATCTGCTGAGCCCTGTTCCGAGGACTGAGCCGCCAGCATGTTCCCACAGGTCTGTTTTCTGTGTGATGTGCTCATTGTTTGAGGAGCCCCCTGCACATGACTGCAGAGCTCACTGCGGCTTTCACTGCAGTTATGCTTGTCTGTTTGGTTGTGGACTGTTGGCTTAGCTGTCATTTGTGTGTGCACATGAATCGGTCCTTACTTAAAAGGCCCCATGACCACTGGTGGCCTATAAGAATGGGCAATGCAGCCCAGTAGAGAGCACGACTTCACCTCAACACACATGGACCTGGCTTCTCCAGGTGAACTTGCAAGATTGTGAACTACATGCCACATGCCTCCATTCTCTTCAGTAGGGTGGGGGCTTGGAGTCCCAGCAGAGGTGCATGGGGAGAAGCTCTGAGGCCCTATGGCTGGCCACCCTTGACTTTGCTGTGGGAGTAGGGCTACCCGGCATCCAGTCTGGGTAATTACAATTGTCAAGTCCTCTTTCTTTGGTTTTCACCAACCTACTTCTACTCTTTCTGCTTGTGGGTAGACTGAAAAGACATGGTCTCCCCACATCAGGCAGCCTCCTCACTGGGGAAGAGGTGAACCCAGAGCAGAAAGGCAGGGTGAGGAGAGAGGCCCCCAGCGAGGAGAGCCTTACAGAGCCCCCTGGAGTCCCTTCCTGCCCACAGAATTCGCATCTAGGTGCCTGAGAGTCCACCCTATTTTCCAAATACAGGAGCACTACTGTAATTCTGCCACCCGAGGCACTGTAACAAACTGGTCAGCATGCAGAGGAACTAGGCCTACTATACTGACAAGTGCATGTGGTGCATGTGCAGTCTATGAGAATGAGGTCAGCTGAAGGAGGTGGTCAGTGTAGGGAGGGTCAACTGTGAAGGTTCTACTCCAAATAGCTTGTTCCAAGTCACAGCAGGAAGCAGTGTCTCTGTATCCCTGTGATGGGAAACGTGGGCCTCGGTGCCCACCCCTGCTATGTCCCTGCTCAGGCCGTGAGCTGTGTAAGGGACGGAGGGTCTCTCCTATAGCTCCAGTTTAACTCAGACACAGCCTGCCTGTGGCCCCGCACTGGCCCCCTCTGCTCCAGCAAAGCTTCTGAAGTGCCTGTGGCGAGCGGCTCTCACTGTTGACTCACCCTGGCTGTGCTGTCCTCACTCGAGTTTTACACAGTGTGTGTCTGACTGGGGTCCTTGTCCTGTCCCTCTGATTGCTTTCTCCCTATGGTCTGCTGGATTTCCTACTCTTTACCCTTAGAGCCTTGATTCCCTATTAAACTGCTGTGGCCCAGGGGATCTGACGGGACCTCAAGGTGGTTTCTGTGGAGAGCTTCCATCTTGTTGGAAACTCAAGTTGGGCCCTAAATGGACTTACCTGCCATATGAGTCGGCTGTGGCCACAGTAACTAAGTACCATGGACTTAGGGGCTCTGACAACAAACTTGTTGTTTCCCAGTTGTGGGGGCTGACAGTCTGAGAGGGAGGCGACAACAGGCTGGATGCCGCTGAGGCTGTGAGGGATCAGCCTGCCTCCAGTGGCTGCTGGGATCTTGGTGTGTGGTAGGTGGCTGGCCCTCCTGGTACCTCCTCACGTAGTGCTCTTTTGGGGGCACCAGTTCTATTGGATTAGGGCTCCACTCCAACGTGCCACCCTCTTAACTCATCTCCAGATGAGGTCACGTCCTGAGGTGTGCCAGGGTTAGGACATCGCCATGTGAGCTGCAGGTGGCGGGCACAAAACAGCCCCTAATGCTGGCTTTTCTCTCCTCCCGTTGATGTCACAGCTGCAGCGATGTTTACGAGAAAGCCCTGTGTGCCAGCTGCGCCATGTTTGAAGCCTGAGGCTTGCTCAGGTCTGCTGTCTTCCTGAGGGCCATGCCAGTGGACAGCAGCCTTCCTTGGACAGCCAGCACTGGAGCTCACACTGAACTTGGGGGGAGCGGGAAGGGGTGCCTTTTACACATTATGTTTTGTACTCTTAACGGCGGAAGTGAGTAAAGCCTTTGTATTTGCACACCCTTGTTTGTGTTCACAGTCCTGAGGGCGAAGTATGTGAGCCACTGCATGGAGGGCGTCCACCTGGAAGGGATGCAGGGCTATGGGAGCTACCTGGCCCTTCTAAGAGGCATGCCCTGTTATCTGGCACTTGGGGTCCCCAACTTGGTGTCCTCTCTCCAGATTGGAGTGCCTTGAGTGTGTTCTGTCCACGCCCATGTGAATGGGACATAGGGCTTGCTGCCTGAGCAGCTCTAGACGAGAGTAGCAGTTACTTGGGGCAAAGGGCAGGCCATGGTGTGGCTAGGCACAGCCAAGAAGGGCCTTCACTGCCCCTGTGGGCAGTTGTGAGGGGCAGGAGACATGGATCTAAGGGAAAGCTGGTGTGTGGGCAGAGGGCTGAGCTGGGCCCGGAGGGGGACTTGCCACTGTGAGGCACAGGACAGAGCACTGCAGCAGGGTCAGGGCCCTCAGAGGGGTGCCCAGAACCTCAGTTTCTGGTGGGCTGGTTCAGCTACTTAGACAAGATTGCAGGGGATGGGGTCTTCCCTGGACTGAGAGCATCCTGAAGCCAAATCTGCTTGGCAGCAAGAGTGCCAAGGGCACTAGAGCAGATGGCGAATATGAAAGGTTGGGTGGTTTTCTTATTTTGAAAATCACCTTAAAAAATAATTGTCTATACGGATAGATATTTCTCAACTGGGGCTGTGTCCACATAAGCCCATCATATGCTGAATGTGTGTTGCTTCTGCACCACCACAAAGTCAAAAAAATCATAAATCAAACCATCGTAAGTTGGGGACTGTCTGTGTATACAGAACTCCTAAAACTTAGCAATAAAAAAAAAATCCAGTAGGAGCACAGTGGCTCCACCTGTAATCCCAGCACTCTGGGAGGCCAAGGCAGGAGGAACCCTTGACCTCAGGAGTTCAAGACCAACCTGAGCAAGAGTGGGATCCTGTCTTTTCTTTTTTTTTTTTTTTT